CCCCAAAACCCCAAAACCCCAAAACCCCAAAACCCCATAGAGGGAATAAAATTAAATAAAAATGATTAATGTACAAGAGAATCCATTCAGTAAAGAGGTTGCAAGGTAATTGTAGTGAGAAGGTGCTGCTTCAACTTGGGATATTCATTATGAGAGAAAATATAAACCCAGCAGATAGGGAAATTTGGAGTTTGGATGGAAGATATTGAATGATAAAGTGATGTTGGACATTTTATAAGGGAAATCTTAAGTTTCTGATGAAAAATATTAATTATCTAACATTTCTGTAGGAAATGAGAGCCAGAGATGGAACTGATTAATAAGCTGGACTGAGTAATAAAATGTTTTAACGAGGGGCTCTATGCTTAGGATAATTCCACGCTTAATAAGATATATCTCGAGTTGATGAAGAGTTGTGAAAATATTTCAACAAAAATTTCTACGATGAGAAAGGGAGAGCTTTAAACTAAGGAATGTAGCATTAAGAAAGGGATTTTAGTCTGGAAGAATTAAATGGAGGTAGATGGGGATTAGCATATATTAAGTATTCGAAGGAAGGCATTAAATAACAGCCCTTAATGCTTATTTTGGAGCAGGAAATTTGAAATTTTTGATTTACTTGGGGCATTTTGATTATTCTCGTTCTTTTTCTTAAATCAAGTATAAAAATAAATGGGTCAAATCTTCTTTTGATACACTAGATATACTGGTAAAAGAGACAGTTTTAATTCTTATTTCTATCAAATATTTGAATAAACTACATCAGAAAAGATTTTCCAATCTTCTGATGAATGCTAAAATCTAATAATAATCTTAGTTTGCTTCCAAGCCAGATAATCATCTTTTTACTAAAATAATTTCATCTCTATGTAATATTAAATAACACTTTATATAATCAAAGAGTGTAGAAGCTTGGCGGTCAACATCCTCCAGTCGCTTATCATATCACCCTAAAGCTTCATATTCTCTATTTAATAGTATTGAGAAATCTTTTCATCAATTTTGATTGATCTATAAACAAACTGGCTATGATCGAAATTTTAATTACTAAAGGCTTCTTTTAACTGACAAAAATCAGATGATTTTTAATAAAGGTTTTGGGAAGGTAAATGTAATAAAATTAGTAATAAAGAACGGTTATCTATTGAATATAGCTATATCTGTTATAAGAGATCTTCTGATCTACTTGTTATAATTTTTGTTCCAATAAGAGGCTAGAGAACTAATAATTTCAAGAAAGATATGAGATTCGTAAAAAATTAAATATTTGGATTCCTAGCACGTTTTTAAAATATTTAAAAATTAAGGAATTCTATTTTGAGATAATTATGCTAAAATCTTAATCGACAAACATTATAATTTGCAAGTAATTAATGATCCCCTTCATGACTTCAATTTTTTCATTTTCCAATCCCTAAAATAAAAACTTAACTATCCCTTCTTCTAAATATCTCTTCTGCTCCTCTTTTGCCCTGCTAGCCTCTCTCATCCCTGCCTAAGCATACACCACCCATCCTCCCTTCTCCAATAAATCTTAGAGTCTGTTTGTCTCAAAGTCTCTATCAGACATCTCTCAACCCAATTTCTGTTCTTCTTTTACCACAAAATTTATGGCCTTGGGCATTCCACGAAGCCAAGGTTTACCGAAGCGAAAGATTTTAGGCTCAGAAAAGTATACGTTTAGCAAACTTTGCAGGAGCATTAAGCAAAGTTTAGGCTAGTTATGTGTAGATTAGACATTAAGTCTCTTAAGAACATTTTTGGAGAAGATTGAGAGCTTTTGTGCTTCTTAATATTTTTGTCGTGTAAAAATGTGTTCAATTTGTTTACGAATTTATTTTAAATTAGAAAAGAGAAATAATGAATGATAAATCCTGACTAAAAGAGCATAAAGAGGAACCTCTCAAATGAGTTATTCTTACTTATCGTCATGATGCGAAAGATATTTGGTAAGCTGATGTATCGACATAAACACTGCTTTTAAATTTTAGATTTTAAATCCCATGAAATTTATATCCCTGATTCACAGTAAAACAAAGACCAATATTGTTTACTACGATTCTTCATTAAGATATACTCACCCTATATAGTAACATTTGAGCATGGTCTAACCACTCATATTCAGTAACAAAGGTAAGTTAATCATCTTTATTCATGTTCACTTAAAATCAAGCTCCTAATATTTTAGTAAATCAAGGGACATATTAGAGAAAATTGACTATCAAGAAGACCAAAGGTAATCTTTAGATGCTTACCAACATCAAAAAGATAATATTAATTGGCTTAGTCTTGATGTGTTTAAGATTTTTCCATAATATTGTAAATTCATGAATCAAAGTCATGACATTCAATAAACAAACTGAGCAAACTTTAGATTAGGTTGGAATTTGGATATTTCAGACTTACAGAGAACACAAGAAGTCTTCAGGGTTCTAAGAATAAACCCACCAAAATCAAAAGAGTCTATCCTCTACAAGATGGAGATAAATCTAATTCAGGAAATAGACTCTTTTCACTCAGAAGTAATTTAAAGGTTTCTCGCTCTTGCTCTTAACTTTCTAAACTTTTACTGACTAGAGGCATTAGTTCATCTAAAATTAATACAGATTTAGATAAATGAAGACTTCTAAGATGGTGATCGAGAATTTTGTAGCTTCTTTCAACTCGAGAAGTCTAAGCTCAATTTCCTACTTATCACACGATGAATTATTAAGTTTTATTCATGACAACTCTATTTCAAGAGAAAATTTTATCAGGAAGGCAAAATGACTCTGAAAGTATGATAAATTATTAGAAAGAAACTTTAAATGCAGATGTAAGTCCTAAAAATGTGACCATTATTTTGAGTTTTAAGCATGAATAACCAGATTATAGGAAAGGAATTAAACAATCACTATATCTTGTATAATAAAGTACTGATACTTCAATCAGGTATGAGTTGCTATTTTAATTCAGCACAGAAAAATTTGACAATGAAGATCCTGAATTTGAAACCAAAAACGCTAAACTGATTAACACAGAGCTAAGGGAATGCTCCAAAGACCTGGAGTCTATAATAAGAGGACTTGAGGTATTACTAGAGCCTGAGGTTGACTTTTTCAATGTGTCTAGTGTATTGCAGCTTTGTATGTAGCTGCTTTTGAGCATGTTTCATTATCACTCTGCATAATAAAGCACTTATTTTCTAGTCTATGGTTGTTTCAATGTTTGTACATAATTTGAAATTGATTTTGTGTACTGTATTCTATAGTTTTTGTAATTTTTCAAAAAGATGATTTTTAACCTACTTTTTATAAAGGCTTTAGAATTTCATTGTTAATTAATAATTTAATTATCAACTTATTTATGCCTTTCGGGGTTTTGGGGTTTTGGGGTTTTGGGGTTTTGGGGTTTTGG